CAGCTCACTGTGAAAAATGTGCAGGAAATGATAAGTGTTGGTTTGTGCTGATTTAATGATATTTTGAAACTACAATAACACTCTAGGAGAATAATACAATGTAGCTGATGCCTTGCGTTCTTTTAATCATTAACATATTGCCAGATTGACTTTAAATACTTCCGATATTTCTTTTTAAAATACAGCTTTCAATTCATGCAAAGTCATCCAAAGATGTATATTTATGTTATTTTTAAAATGTGCACTTAGAAATCCCTCGTTTATATGTATAAATATACTGTATCTTCTTTTGGTAGCGTATCTTATTATTCTTCTGTATACTCACTCAATTTTCCATTACAGAAATACTTTTTTTCAGACCTAGTGCTGAGTGGCACTGGACGGTTACTGGTTTATAAATTAATATTAAATATTTCTTGGTTTATTACATATTTAAGTAAAAAAATTGTTTAAAGATGTATTTCAGATGCAATAATGGACAATTTAAGGCTAAGATGACTTCACAGTTATTACAGACAGATGCGGTGGTAGGACCTGAAGTTTTATTTCAACTTTTTTTCAAAGAATATGATTGCATTTTGTACATAACACAAATATGTTATTGTTAATAGACTTCAGAAGTCCTCTCTTCACTACTAAAACTAATATGGTATGTACAGATACATAATATATTACAAAGCAAAACCCTAACAGATATGTATAGGTAGTCAGATTAAGGTCAATGAAATTACACATATGTATAGAGTTTAGCAGATACATAAATAATTGAAAAATCAGATCTGCTAATCTATAGAGCCTAACAAGTAATGCAGGCTCCAAAGAGTATGTAGCAGAGGATGGCTGAGGGTTGTTAAAAAGCTAGGTCACTTTGTATCGATCTATTAAGTACTGAATTGTCTTTGACAACCTTTCTTAAACAGATATATTTAAATTTCAAGCAACGTGGGGAAAAAAATAGATCTTCATCGTACCTAAATTGAATATTTAGGTTATCCTGGGCCATTTTATTGATATGAGCCAGTACTTTATAATCAGTGGATCATAATAAGATATTACTTACATTTTCTGGGTTTGCAGTAGAATTTGGTTCACATAGTATTAGATACTATTAATACCATAGAGGTATGTGCCAAGATTTTTGCTGATCATAACACAAGATGCCAGGAATTGGTCATTTTTTCTTTAAAATATTTTTGTACTCTTGATTCGTACATTGACATTTTCTAGCCCACCACAAAGTCACATTCTTCATTGTAAAAAATAATTCAGCAAAGGCACTCCTTTTATTATCACTCAGGCATGAACTAGTTCTCCCCTAGTGTTCACAAAAGTTTACAAAGTATTTTAAGCAGTTAAGTGTCATCTTATGTGTTCTTCTTTGATTGTACTCTTCAGATACTTAATATTCTGTCAATTTGATGTGCACTTAATAATACAAAATTCATGCGATTTTTTCATTCCCTGATTCAGTGTAATGTAGCGCTGGCCTTGCATTTTTTAAGCACGTTGCCAGGCTGACCAAGTAATTTTAAAGTTCCTGTTAAGTTCTGTATAGATCGTCAGACAAAACTTTTCTACTGAAGTTTCTAAGCATTTTGGTTTTTTAATAATATGGATCAAATAATGCCACTGATGATTTAAGTTATACAAATTAAACCTGATCCAAAAAAAAGCTATCTCAATTCACAGAAATGTTTAAAAATCTTTATACAATGTGGTTTGCTATTTTTGTGGTTTGCTAGCCTAAAGTTGGGGTGAGGAAAAAGTCTAAAAATAAGTAAAAAAAAAAAAAAAAAAAAAAAAGAGTATCAACCAAAATATTTAAATCAGGACCCTCTAATCCTTCAGATTTCTGCTGATGGTATTAACTATTCCTTGTGGTAATAGTTTTCATGGGGTACTCTTTGTTAACGTACTGGTTAATAAAGCATGGCTCGTTTTCTCACGCACTTTTTATTATGGGTGCCATTTTCTGCAAAATGTAGCAAACTACCATAAAACTAGAAACTAGATGTTTTCAGGACTCCAAAATACTGCTTTTATTTTGCACCACAGTTCAGCTATCATGTCTTGCAACATGCAGCAATTATTTCCTGAAACTAATTTTTAAAAAAGGACTGTGATGTGACAAGATTGTATCGCATATGTTTTATTATATCTTGGTATGGAGAACAGCTTGCAGAATAATTAAGAATTTCAATGCAAGCATTAAAGATAAAGCCTACTTCGAATATGTGTGGAAACTGTCCATTCTGTTCCAACTGTTCATACAGTGCACCTCACAATGTCAAAGACAATACGTGGCATCCAGCATTGTTATCAGGAAAACTAGATAGTTTCTTGCGGGTTGATTATATTGATTACAGCTTGAGGCCTCAATAGCATAAATAGTGTCTTTAATTAATGAAAATGCTTGATTAGTTTTTCTAGTTTGAGGAGATAAACTAGCTTCTTTAAGAAGCTCACTCTGAAAATATTCTTTCTTCAGTCAGTATAAGAACACATTAAATTGGAACACAGACCACAGTCTGTGTTTCTCAGAAGGTCGGGAGCCAGTTGTCTCCATGCTGGGCTCTGTACTTTTAGGCAAGGTCTAAACATTTTTCAGAACTTTTTTTTTTAGTTGACTTACACACTCTTGTCTCACACACACATGCTGTTTTAGGTGCTTCGTAAAAGCAGGCTACAAATTTTGTTATGCCAAAAATGTCTTGACTGCTAGAGTAAACCATCTATCAGCATTACCACTGTTAAGTCACTTTTCAAAGGATTATCAATCAACTGCAAATATTTATTCTCTGCTGCAATTTGGCCAAGAAGATTTCAGCACACACAAGGTTTGTTCTAGAGATTTGGGGAAAGGTTGATTTAGACATTGCTAACTAACATATGGAAGTGCTAGAGTGGTTTTTAATGTATGTTGTGTAAAATTTTTCAACTGTAGTCAATAATGAACACCTAATATTGTTTCTGTTACTTTTTTTCATGGGAGGGTTTTGAAGAGCAAAAGCATGAACTGGATCTAGACTATGTTTAATACGAAAGATTAAAAGTGCGAACACATCTCGACTGCCTCTATCGTAAATACACACTCCTCTACCTCCCATTAGAACTATCAAAGTCCCTGAATCTTACACTCACATTTACTAGAATGAAATATGACTGTGAACGAGGTGCCTCAAAGTAACTGCAAGGATGAAACTGAACAGCTCCTCAACACTAGAATTGACTCCAATAATTGAAGGACAAAATGAAAGGACAGAATCACCCAGCTACTCACAGATCATCCCATCTCCGATTTCTCAAAATTGATCTTTCAGGAATACCTTCCAGAGACAAGACTGGAAACCAAAATTCTTAAATTTCCAGAGTAATAAGAACAATCAGTTCAGCAGAGCTACTGGTCTAATGGCACATGACTACCTCCCTCCCTCCATGTTCCGTAAATGACTTGTCTCTCTCTTTTCCATAGGAAATAATTGCCTTATTATCTTTTTTTCCTTCTTACTAACATTCTCTCTGCTCTCCAGGTATCAACTGCCTTTTCTTTTAGAAATGATCTGATATATATTTTACATGAAAAACACATATCTTTAAACTCTTCTTTTTTGTGTCAGACCTGTAGAACGGCATATATAGTCTAAAGCCTCTCTACTTTTTCTGACTGTTTGTTGGTCTGATTAAGGTAATTCTCTCTACCAGCAAGCACTGTCCGTGCTTTGTTCTTGCATCACTGTAGCTATAGCAGATTCCTAGGAGAAACATTCTCATTCTAGTTCTCAGGCGTTACTATTATTTAAAAAAAAAAAAAAAAAGTTGTAGTGGATTGGGGGCAAAGGGCGGCTTGGGAAGGGGAACTGCATATTGACACCAATGCTCTGACAAAGTTCTGCCTTTCCTTTAAAATTGCCCCCGCGTTTCTTCAAGAGGTTGCCTTTGTTGACATTGTGTTTCTGTGCAATTGTAGGGAATCAGGTAAGGTACAATACTTATGGGCTATGAGCCCATTCAGACACTAGTGTTCAGCTTCATGTTAGCTTGAGGCAGCACAAACATCCAAGTGGCAGAAATGGAAATATATTTTACCATGCCATTTGGTATAATAATGCACATACCTAGCTGTTATTCTTAAAAAGTTTTGAAGCTCTGGTATAAATGGAGAGTCTCTGGCTCTCTTCAAGGTATGCAAATGCACCAAGTGACAGGGACACCTAATAATGAAATATCTAGGCAAGCATATTGCTGTGTGGATCAGTTGTTCCAGTTCTCACTGGCATTAACTGAAGAGCCCTAAGGTTCAGTTGTGATGTTGGCCATATATGTGAAAATGCTATGATGGTACTTCAACAAAATTTTGAAGTATGTTTTTTATATATTGAAATGATGGAAAATTCAATATTTCTCCCTTTAAATCTGCTGTACTACTTGCTGAATTTCTACACCAGCAGTTCTGTTTCCTGAGGCAGAAAATTAGTTTTTTCCATTTTGACTGAAAACAGATAGGTGGGTGTCCCCTGATTCACCCCATATTATGTGTACATTCCAGCAGCAGATTATGTGGAATCAATAACAAATCTGGCAACAGCAAAAAAAAAAAAAAACCTAGCAGAAAAGGTAAAAGGCCTATTTTAGCAGTTATAGCACAAGACTTAGCCTTGCCAGGTTTCTCTATCAGAAAAAAATCTTATATGAGATCATAAGGCTTCTCAGAAAGTAAAAGTATGTTACCTGCTTCATGCTGGAAGTAAGTTGAACTTCAAGCTGTACTTCATACGGTCTGGCAATGTAAAGAAATCAAGTTAATTAATCTTCCATGCTTTGGGAAAATTCATCCTTTCTAGAGGAATCCTTGGACACTGAAATTACTTTCACGGCTCTGATTAATCTGAACCTGGCCCCTAGCACAGGTTCACATGCCTGATGTTCTTGTGTCAGCTGTGACAGCCATGGCCCAATGTGACAGAAGTTGAAGCAACCATATTTTGATTTGTGTTTTTCAGAGACTGGTTGAATGTGTTCAGTCCCCCCATCGTTCCTGCAAGCCAACAGCTAGAAGAACACACTGAATCGTCAACAAATCAGAGTATTCCAGGTAGGAATTTATGAAGATGAAAGTCTGTGTAGAAAGTGTATTGAGATGTCCCTAAGTGCTGTTTCTGTAGTGCTGATGCTGCCTTGTAGTTGTTTTCCGCACTTTTGCATTTTGATGACAAAGTTCTCTTATTTGTTATTCTCAGTTCATGCTAGCAGAGTTTTCCATCCTGATAGAAGGGTAACTTACACAGTGGTGGTTTCCTGATGTTCTGGTTCAGTATGCATTAACTTCTTAAAAATGCATGTTATTTGTTTAAAATAAGGAATGGATGGTGGTAGGGATGGCAAACCTATGAAAGAAAGACTGTATCCTTGAAAATGATTTCTATTCAGAACAATTTCATTTAAGCGGAGAGAAAAATTTCAGATTTAGGCTTTAATGAAATCTCATCGTTCCCTGATTAGGTTGTTGAGTCACCACCAAAAGCGCTACAAGATTTTGTTTATTAAGGTGATTGGTTAGAGAATGGCAAAGAACATAGCTGAAACTGAAAAGTCAGCAACAACAGAATAAAACAAATACCTTGTTTTCTCTTAAAAAGCCTTTTTCTCTCACCTGGTATGTTAGGAAATAAGGTAGATACCTACTTTTTTCTTCAAGTCCAGTGCATTCAGTGTGAAATCTCATAAATCTAACCTGTGTATTTTGGCTGCCCAAGGGACGAAGATGTCTCAGTGAGTTACTGTCTAAAATATGTGTGTCCCTCAAATTGAGAATCTTTTCATAGATGTATATTTGTAATTGTTTGTGACAGCAAAATAGAATATTTGCTGTCACGAGAGGACCTTGCTTTAAAGAATGGAATAATATGTTGTGTTAAGCATCCTAAGTGAGCCAAAACGAACTGGACAGTAATCCTTGAGTTAAAGGCATGTTGGATATAAATTTGTGATAGATCTCTGAGAATGTTTTGGTTATTAGTATTATGAAATCTAAGGCTTGCTGCAGTAAAGCTAGAATTTCTGTAAATTGTAAAAGTTGTACGATTATGTTTAAAAAGCTAGCAGGAAGGGTATTTGGCAGTTTGTTGGATTTCTCCAGTTACACTAGAATTTCCAAACTATTTTGTGAATTGTTCTTAAACTCATTTTCCTTTATGATGAAATATTTTACGTGATTTATGTTACACATGTGGAGAACAAAAAGTCTCTAATTACTATGGCTTTTTATTTTGACTTTTTGTTCTTGCACTTTTCTTGAATCAAACTAAATTCTGACTCATGTATATATATGATATTTGTAATTTTGTTAACTTTATAGCAAAACTCTTAAGTCCTCTTTTGTTTTATCTCCAAATACTCCAAAAAACTACCATGGTGTTTGAAGTATCCAAGCTTCATTACCCCAGGAAGCAGAAGAAAATAAGAAAGAACAAAAAAGCAGTCACACAGTCTTCCCTCCACATACAGCACACTGGGTTTTTTCCAAACTACTAGACACCCTTCCCTATTAAAAGAGCAGGGAGAGGATCAGAGTAATCTTAGCAGCCGTGGGAAGGAGAGGCATGATTGGCAAAGTGGCTTATCTGTACAATTTAGAGCATCCTCAAGCAACTCCAAGCCTCCCTTTCTGGTTATTTACAGTCCTTGAAAAATAATGTCCTTGAGCTATGCACACAAAACTGACATGGTTTACTCACATATTCCAAAAGGTACACTTGATTCAAACACAAATCTTTAGCCTTAAGGCAGAGGTATGGGAAAATGCAGTGCCCAGTAATATACATACTAGATTCGATTGTGCCCATCCAACCTTAAACTATATTAATTTTTCTAGGTCTCCTGGATTAAAAAAAATCTCGGAGAACTATATGTAAATGGCAACTAAATGTTTTGCAGTATTGTTTTTTGAAAGAAATGCTAAAAAAAAAGGGTCTTATTCTGTAGTATATCTCTAGCACTTCAGAATAACCGTGGAATGGCTTTTTGCTTAATCACTCCACTGAGGTTAGCTGTGTTTGTGTGACAGAAGTGTGATGTTATTCTTAAATTCCAGAGCGGATCTTCTGATTGAACACTCAAATACATACCAGGAAATTGTGCTGCCCAATTTACCATTTTTAAATACCACATTGGAAAATGAGTTATTGCTCATGCTAGGAAGAGGCTTAAGGTCACAAGTCCTTCTTCTTATGCAGTTTTCCAGTATACCAGACATCACAGGATAACAAAAGCCACTAGTGAAACTCTACAGTGAGTTAAAAGATTTTCAGAATGACCATTTCATCTGGAAGTATCCTTAGAGAAAAATAAATACTGTAACATTAGTATATTGGGGACATATATTTAATTTTTATATTTAGAAAAAATATTTAATTTGGGTCACAACTTTGAGAATACAAATATGAGTATTTTCTAAGAAAACCAGCGCCCATTTTACTTTCTAGTTCCTTTCTTAACATATGCACCTTTCATAACGCATCATTCAATGAGGAGCTGTAATGAGAAGTAGTCTTATACAGGTATCACAAAGGTAATCAAGACCAAAACTTAGACCAATAAATAGGGTAATTTTTAATAGATATTTTTCCCTCATTGGGCATTGATATTTCTGATTTATAGACCCTTATATTTTACATGGCAGCTTTAATACAAAAAAAGTTTCCGCAGTAAATACCAAATGCACTATCATAAATTCTCTGGAACTTACCTTACAGCATAGTATTGCTTGTCTTAAGTTAAGACAGTGCTCTGAAAATCACAAAGCTGAATAGTCTTCTTCCTTCAACTACAGCTATGGACAATATTTGTATGGTAACCTCGCACTGCTTTATTATAACGTAGATTTGAGCATCATAGTTCAGTGTTCAAGGGTAATATCGAAGAGAGTACTAGCAATGTTCTTTTCAGTGTGCTTTCTGCCAACAGCTCATCCAGTGCAGTTGAATCCACTTTTATCAGGGTCAGAGTATGACCCATATATCTTAAGAAGAGATTCACCATGAGCCATTTTCTAATATTAAAACCTAGAATACAGTGCAAATATTTTTCTGTGAAAAGGGAGCCTGTTTATTTCAGTTCTCCAGACTGTGGTAACTGTGCAAACATTTAATGTTAATGTAATCCAAATAACACTTTTAAGAGTTCAAAAAAGCTGCTATTTGACTCCATTCTTTGATATCCAGTTTAAGACATGCAGAACAAAATCTTTCCTTCATAAAAACTGTAGCTCCCCTGATTTCAGTGGAACAGCATTTCATTTAATATGACAGATATTCATAGTTACTAAGTACCTTCAGTCGCTATCAGCGCAGTAGAAGAAAAATACTCATCGCTCTATAATGTGTATGACAGACTTGGGCATAGCTTTTATTTAAAATCAAGTTATGTTCCAGCCTTAGCAGTTACAAAAAGATATTGTTTAATTTTACAGTGGTTTTAAGAACAAAAGCTTTGATTTTGCTTTCACCATGATACTCAAATTGAACTGCCAAAGGGCACATTTTTCTTTTTTTCTTTTTTTTTCCATAATTATGTCATGCACTCTTGAGCAGCTTCAATCTAAAGGAGCGGGCAGCATGAACAGCTCTAGAAATTTCCTTAGAAAGTGACTTGTTTCTCAGTTATTTCTGCCACAGAAACATAATTCCTACGTATGGCCAGATTGCACGCAGTATACCATTTGAAAGTAGAAAGATATTCTCTTACAGAGCTGTTACACATTAATTGAGTCTTCTAAGAGAGTGTCAAAATTTAATTAATGCTTACTTTTAAGAGGCAGTAATACATACGGAAGTGGAGTTTTCACACATCAATTTGACAAAATACTTTTTTTAAATCCCTTTAAGGCTAAATACTGCATGCTACCATTGGAAATTTGTGGCAACATCTGGAAATGCCTTCAGAGGCATTCTGGAATATTTGGAGATGCTACAAGAAGCCGCGTAGCTTTAAAAAGAAGATATGACTAGAAAGTTAAGTTCTCTTCTTGTTCACATGAAACTACATGCAGGGAGTTGTTATTATGAAGATGTAAATCCAGGTAGTCCTGGATGCAATCTATTCTGATATGGTATGAATTCAAGATATACAGGGAAACAGATAGACCCCTAATGAGTTTGAAGAATTTCCTATTCCTAAATCAAGCCAAGGAATATATTGAGAGGCCAGTGCTGAGGTAGAGAGGAAAGGAGATTTAAGCTTAGAGAAGAAACAGAATAAAGTATGATTTAGAAGAGAAGCATAGACAAGAGAGCAAAAAAATGATGAAAAAGGAAGAATACAATGGAAATAACAGAATGGTTTCAGATGAAAATATAAGGCTGTGTGAGGGAATGAGGCATGAATGCCATGTGCTTATCTGCTATGATCTGCGGAAGCGCAGAAAAATATCTGAGTTAACTTAGTTAGCTTACCAAGCCTGATGAAATAAAAACAGCAAGGAGAGCAGCAGTTTGGCTTTACAGTTTTACTGTTGATTACATTAAGGGACGGTTTCTTTCAGTATTTAGCATCAAACTTGAACCGAGAGTTCTGTTTTCACATTCTGGTCTTAATTTCCACAGACTTACATTGGTTTTTTTGCCTCTATAATCAAACTGTGATAAAATTCTCATGTCGTAAAGCTGTTATCACTATGATATCAACATAGTTGGAAGTACAGTACTTATAGTATATGTATAGAAGCTGATTTTCAACGGTATTTCTTCAAAGTTCCATAGTTTATTTTTTATGAACAGTTAGGACGCTACACTGTTGCATTATACTTAGGTAGTAGGGTTTTTTTAGTGTAAGATGTATTTGTTTATGATTAGCAGGCCTCATCTTAAAATCTGATGTATGGTATGTACTTTTACATAACTAAACGCATCTGAGAATAGCACTTGAGATCCTTTTTAGTCTTATTTTTGTCTTTTATTAAGCTTCCACACAAATGGAAGAGCTTACTGTCAAAGAAGAGTCTATGTGACCTAATTTATTTCAATAATAATGACTTTGCTGCAAGTTTGTTAGATTTATTTGTTATACAGTTTCTTTTTCTACCTATTTAAGGGCAATTAATGAAATATACTGAATATACTTAACTACCTACCTGTAATGCATATATGACTTGTAATAATGAATCTATAAAAACTTCACAGTAAGCTAACAAGCTTGAACCAGATTGATGTGAGGCTAACATGATAAGCAAGAAGTCTTCAAATAAAGATGTTTGTGCTATGTTTAATTTAATCCGGCTTTCCACATAGAACGTTTTAATAATACTCAGTGTCATTTTTACAGACGCTAAGAACAGATTAACTCTCTTTCTGTGTTCATACTAAAATGTTATTGTTTAAGCAGTTCATTGAGAAAAACATCCATTAGAAATACTTTGATCCGTTATCAGTAAAAGTGCTTCTAGTGAACTGTTGTTCCATTGAAGTTCCTAAAACCCAGTTGTTACGTAAATGCTGAATGCCATCATTTCACTTCAGCTAAATACAAATCTTCAGAAATATAATAAAAATGTGAATTGCTGTTATCTTTGAAGGTAATAATTCAAAAGTTAAAATATTATACAGTTGAAAGAGAAATTCTGTCACATGTGGCAGAAGGGTACTTCTATAAGAAAGAAAGAGTGATTTATTCTTGCTTTTCACACTTCACATAGGTGAAGATGACTTCAATGCTGAAGAAGATGAGGAAGTCTTGACTCTTTTGTATGATCCATGTCTGAACTGCTACTTTGATCCAAGCACTGGGAAGTACTATGAATTGGCATAGCCAGATTATGAGAGGATATTACTTTGTATTCACATAGGTTTGTCTTTTAACTGTTTGTAAAGTGTGGCTGAGCTATATAATTTATCATGTAACTTAAAACTTGAATTAACCAATAGTTTTGTAAACAAATGAATATAGTTTTTAAATAGCGTGTCCTATTTTTATAGTTTTGTATTAAGTTGTAGTGCAGTGGAAAATCACATAACATAGAAGTTCCTTGTGGCTAAGACGTTTATTTGTTTGTCTAATTTATTCCCAGTATTCGAAGGTTCTGTGTGGGAGGAAATTAAGTTGAAGAGCTTTTGCAGTGTTCATCTGTAAATGATGGCTTGACTCAAACCTGTTTTTTTCATTACTTGCTTCCTGTATGTTTTTAATTGGTTCCAAGCTATCTTATCCTTGGTACTCTAAGATGTACAACCTGTTGTTTAAAGGCCTTTATTCCATGAGCTCTCTCTCTGCCTTTAGTCATCAGAAAAAGCAACATTTTCCTCATCTTCAAGTAATTCCCTTCTATTACATACTGCAGGAATGGGATATTGTCAAAGCTGTGTGTTGTGGTGTACGGTGTACAATGCAGTGCACTTCAAGTGATGTGCATGGGCAATCTGTGAATGCAAACCGCATCGGGGTAAATATGACAGACCTGAGTATACCCACAGCTCTCATTTTACTGATGTAATTTAATATGGGACTGAAGAGGATCTGTAAGTGATTGCTTCAGCACTCCAATTTGAGCCTCGTATACATTTGCAGTAAGGTAAGAAGACGTGTATATGATTCATATACGAAGTTGTGCTCAGAGTATTATTCTCCTATGTTTGTATTATTTATTCTGTTAAGCGTCTTAATAAAAGAACGTGCTTGATTTAACTCATCTGTATTGCCTGCAGTTTTCAGTGAGGGCCCCAGACTCCCAGCTGAGAGATTTAAAATTCTTGCATCTCTGTGGGATCTATTCAAAACATAAATGGAGATTTGTTTTTTCCTGTTGCACATATGATATCCTTGTTTACCGTGGAGAAAGACTACGGAGATAAACCAGTCCATGTATAACCTCTGAAAATAAGATCAGCATGTGAAACTGAATAAATTATTGTGTATGCAAATATGTCAAGCTTTACTGTCAGCTGTAAGAATCAGTTGACCTGACCTGTGGTCACAGCACCAGCCCCTTGCGTTTCTGTAGTGCCTGGCTCAAAACAATGCCTGACGTGACCAGCCCCAGAGCAGGACAAGGCCTGCAGTACTACGCCTGTGCTGCCTGCCGGTCGTGTCCCGCAGCCAATAGGACACTAGCTCAAAGGGTTAAATCAATCATAAAAAATCAGCTATTGGTATTAAAGAAAGAGGCCTGGGGCAGGGGTTGCAAAGAGTCTCAGGAGTTATGCTGTAATGGAGTTTAGTTAGTGGACAGCTTTGGAATCCACCAGTATTCAGTACTAACATTATGGTTTTCGGGAGATGGTTAAAAGGAATGTCAAAATCACAAGGTAAAAGTGATCTATAGACATTCCTGGTGATACTTGTTCTAACCTTCTACTTGATTATGTCCCATGCTATTGCACAGTAATCATTTGCAAACTGATTACTCAGTGAATTTTTAAGAATGATGCATTTGAATGTCATAAAGTGAGCTCAGGTTACAACTGGCAAGTGATTTAAAATGATGTGTCTGTAAATTATTAGTAATTATGGATGCCAGTTAATGAATATCCTAGAATCAATTGAAAATGCAGTTGTTAATAATGGCTTGGCATAAGATCAGATTGTGTATTTGGCTTCCTTGGCAGGTACAAACATATCATCACAAATTGATTCAAGTAAGAGTAGCACTGAAATCCACAGGAAGACAGATATTGGGTTGACATAATTCACTTACCCTGCCTCAGACTGTTTCTCCTGGAAGGATTCATACCTGTTTTTGCTAATGCCATAATCAGTTTAAAAGTTCAGTGAAATCATCATTTTGCCCTTCAAAAATCAGATCATAGCATGTACATGATTTGCAGGTCTAACCACTTTCTTTTTAGCATCATTTAGTGATTAGGACCATCTTCCCTGTATTTTTGGCATGGGCTATTTAAAATGTATTGCTAATTTTCCTTCCATAGCTCCATGTCTCATAGGAGTGGCTGGATGTTCAGCCACTGCAAATCCGAACTGGTCCACTGATGCTTCTGAGATACAGCTTACTTGCATCAGAACCTGACTGAGAGTCAAAAGTCTGCAAAGGGCCAACTAATTGTCTGCAAATGTCTCTGGGTAGATAGGCTTGTCCTGGCTTCACACTAGGTAATCTCTAATATGTCATATTTAAAAATATACAAACGGACATAAAAAAGCCTGGACAAAAGGGAGTCATTAACAGCCCCTCATTCTTACCCCTGTCTTTAATGGGATAAGGAGGCAGGTGGGGAGTAACACTAGGTTCAGGACGAGACTGTTATTTCAGTCAGGTTCGTAGGCAGGGTCAGATATATTGTTTGTGTTTTCCTGTCATTAGCACAACAGTATTTTACAGGTAAGACCTCTCCAAAATCATCAGTTTGGGATTCTTGCCCTTTGTATCGTAGTTAGCCGCTTTATGTCTTCGACGTCCTAGGGAGTTCATTCTTACAATGCCGTGAACAACACCTGCAAGTTAAGAGGTACAAAAGGCTTAGCTAAAAGGGCCGTTAACTTTTGCTCCTGGTGCTTTTCTTAATCGTTCTGTGAACCTAGAACTAAAGCACTGCTGGCATGCAGCATGATTTTTCTTTGGCCAATTTGTCAAAACCAGCATTTATGGCAAGCCTTAAAGTTAACACACAGATTTGCTCCTGGCAGTCATATGCAATGCTTTAACTTGAAGTCCTTGAGAATCACATAGTTGTCACTACTGTGTGCTTTCAAATAGGTAGAAAAAAGCCTGTGCCTGGGCATAAAGTTTTGGGTTAATGAAACTATATGCAGACGTTTTTTCTACAGACCCAACATCAGATATGATTTTTGAGAAGAGAAGTTTCAAAATGAAATAAATTTTAATAAGGCCTCATTAATGTTCCCTAGAATATGCATTGAAAGTACAGGAATTGGAGGTAGCTTGGTAGATCTGCCTGAGAATTGGGGGTTTTTTTGGGGGGGGAGTGGCTGAAACACCAGAGGGCTGGGCTGCCATTCAGAAGGACCTGGACAGGCTGGAGAGATGAGCAAAGGGGAATCTCATGAAATTCGACAAAGGCAGGTGCAGGGTCCTGCACCTGGGGAGGAATAAGCCTATGCACCAGTACAGGCCGGGGGCTGACCTGCTGGAAAGTAGCTCTACAGAGAAGGACCTGGGAGTCCTGGTGGGCAACAATTTGACCATGAGCCAGCAATGTGCCCTGGTGGCCAAGAAGGCCAATGGGATCCTGGGGTGCATTAGGCAGAGTGTTGCCAGCAGGTCGAGGGAGGTGATCCTGCCCCTCTCCTCAGCCCTGGTGAGGCCTCACTTGAAGTACTGTGTCCAGGTCTGGGCTCCCCAGTACAAGAGAGACATGGAGCTCCTGGAGGGAGTCCAGCAGAGGGCTACAAAGATGATGAAGGGACTGGAGCATCTCTCCTATGAGGAAAGGCTGAGGAAGCTGGGCCTGTTCAGCCTAGAGAAGAGAAGACTAAGGGGAGGATCTGATCAATATGTTTAAGTATCTGAAGGGAAGGTGTCAGGAGAATGGGGCCAGACTCTTCTCAGGGGTGCCCAGTGATAGGGTGAGAGGCAACAGGCACAAACTGAAACGCAGGAAATTCCGTCTGAACATGAGGAAAAAATTCTTTGCTGTGACGGTGTCTGAGCACTGGAACAGGTTGCCTAGAGAGGTGGTGGAGTCTCCTTCCCTGGAGATACTCAAAAGCCATCTGGAGGCAATCGTGGGCAATGTGCTCTAGAGGGCCCTGCTTGAGCAGGAGGGTTGGACTGGATCATCTCCTGAGGTGTCTTCCAACGTCAGTCATTCTGTGATTCTGTGAAATCTCTAAACCACTTTTTAACCAAAGCCCTGAGTGATGTGTTTTCCATGTTACTAGAATGATTCCTCCTCATTTTTCTTTTTCTTTTCTTTTTTTTTTTTTTTGGCCTTAGTTCCATCTGTTCTGAGGTTTTCTCCGAAGTCCAGCCAAATAACCTGGACTCTTTCAGCCTTTGGATCACTGTGGACTGCAGCGATATTGAGGCGTAGGTCACAGACAACATGGTACATGTGGGCACTGGCATGAACTCGTCCCCAGCAGCTGCTAGGACTTTGTAATCTTTGATCCTGCAGTATTGTCACTTGTTGTACCCAAGTGCTGTGTGTGCATGTGAACTTCATTATTCCAAACAAATGTGTAAGGAACACGCTCTGTCCTAAGGAGCCTGTAGTAAGATATGAATATTGATTTTTTTTTTTTCCCTTCTGCTGCCATGATTATTGGGTAAGAAAACATGCAAAATAGTTCTTTATTAGTCACATGTCCTTCAGCCATAAAACATTCTGTTTAGGGGTGCTTTCCAGTTAAACTTTGTGCCGGAACACTAAGATGCCAAAGGTTGAATGTCCAAAAAAGCCATGAAAATCATTTTGCATAATAATCACATTTTATATTCAAATTATTTTTCCATGATATTTCTATATTTTAGAAATGGGCTTATTTTTAAGCAATGGACTACACGAAAAATGAAAAGGCAATCCAGTCTGTCTTTTCTATGTGGTATTGCTGATAATCGCTGCTTTTCTCATGGTTACTATAGTAACTTGGCATCCTTAGCTGCCACCTTTTTTGGCACTATAAAAAAACTCTTTAAATTCAGTTCCCTGATAAACTGAAAGCTTGGCTTCATGATACCCATGGGAGTGTGTAAGTGTAGCAACAATACTTGTCATTTCTCTTACTTGCTGTTTAACTTGCTTGTTAGCAGCTGTGCAGGCAGTTCTAACTGTGATGTTTCAGGATCCTGCTGCAGGCGTTATAAAAAGCACAAATGCTAATGCCCTGGATGAAACCCTGGAAACGGCCATGAGCTCCTGACGGGTCGTGCGCTACAGCCCAAGATGTGAAGAACTGAGCAGAATTTTGCTCTCATCACACCACTGTAAAAGCAGTTCTGCCTCCGAGTTTGACAACTTTCAAGAGCAGAAATAGTCTGTGGACATGAAACTACACGGTGAGAATCATTTTAAAGGCTCCTGTGGTAAATCAGTGGCAAATCAACAACCTATTGATGCTTTTAATCCTTTTGCAAGTGTGTGCATGCAGTCGGTGTGGCAGATGAGAGCAGCCCAGAGCTGGGGATGCTGGAGAGCAGGGAGTGCCCAATGCACTGCTGAGAGAGGGCAAAGCCTGTTGGCACAACATTGTTGGAGGGGAGTGCAAGGCCAATGCAAACACCAGGTGCCCTAAATGAGCACAGCAGTTGGACCTCTTTCTTTGCTCCAAAACGGTGCTTGTGCTGAAGGTTTTTCTAGTTTTGTGAAACTGTCACCCAGCTACAGCCCACTGCTCGTGCAGCCCCTGTGGAGGCTGGTGCCCTTAACCCTCCACCAAAATACCCTTGTCACAGGAAGGGAAAAGGCGATACTGACATCTGAAGAGCTGGTATTAGCTCCAGGCTGTTGGGCACGACTATCCGGCGCATCCAGAGAGGGGCTGAACCCTTTGTTGAAGCCAGGGCATTTGGTGAGCCTTCCTTCCCTGCAGCTGTGTTTTCACGTTCTTTTGCAAAGGGTTTTGCAGAGCAGACAGGTTTGGAAGTTATGTGGTTGCAAAACGATGGAGGAAGAATGTGGCTGAAGTGCTCCTGGGAACTGTCAGTGTATCCTCGTTCTGCTCTTACTGCTCTCGTAGCTATCCTCTCCTGGCAGCTGCTGGAGATAAGATACTGAGTATCCTGTTCTGGCCAGAACAGCCACAGTACGACACTTTTTATAAAGAAAAACACCTACTCTCCTAATACAAAATAGTGTAGTGGCCTGTGCTAGTAATGCTAGTGCACTTCAAACGCTGTTTGCTTTACAGGGCTTAGGGGAAGAGTTTTATTTAAAAGTTTATTATTGGATGATTGTACATTTGTCTATGTGGGAGACCAAGAAAAGCTCAGGTCACGGAAATTACAAACGTAGTTTTAGGACACTGCATATTTATTAGGCCATCTGCTACTGCAGCACTAAAAGCAAAAGCCTTTGTACAGGCAATCTATTCGCAGCTACTGTTTTACCTCCTGATGTGCAAAATATCAAAGCTCTGGATGCATTTATTATTCTGCCGAGTAATTTTCTAATGAATTCATAAAGCTCAGGAAACATCTTATGCAAGAGTTTCCTTTATATTAGGTTGCTCTTTTCTCATCAGAGCCTGGCAGGAGCCTCTGAGGAGGAATCCCGTAGTGTGAATAAGTTTATGGTGCTGAACACGTGGCTGGGTGGCACTGAGTTTTGTTATTCCCACCTTGGTAAGACAGATTCTGGCTAGAGGATCTGAGTATTAATGGCAGATACGTGGATGGCATTCTCCTAAGACTGAATCAATGTGAAGTCCAAATTAAAATAACTGTTTTACCAAGAGAAAAAAAGCAAGTGGCTTTTCAGAAGCAAGCAACTCCAAAGTAACAACTAGTGTCTGGGTGAGCCATGTGACATTCACAAGAATACCGGAAGATGATCTAACTCTGTTTTTCCTCATTCTCCTTTCTAGTAACCTACAAAGCCTTTACAGCATGCCTTTACAGCCGTGTTTCCAGTGCAGCCTGCAGCCTGTGCACCACTGCGACCCCTGCGTCACTGTATGACCCAAGCACCTTTACCCAAACTCGTCCCTTTGTCTTCTGTGACCAAGCCAGGATCAAACCAACAGCTGCAATAGAAATCACCCACAGTGTTTAGGTAAGTACCTTGTGTTCAGAGACATGCAGACCACAGGGGCAGCAGTGGAGAAAGAGAGGAGCAGCTTGGCACAAGTCAGGACAACTGTAAATCACTGCGGGGCGGGACAGCCACCCTGTGCTTGGCCTGTACCCAGCACCCCAGAGCCTCTGCCCTGTGCTGGAGAAGTCCAACAGTGCTTAATACTACAAGGGCCAAAATGCTACAATTGCTAATGCAATTTATGGAGTTTTGTAATTAATTTGCAAGAATCAGCAGTGAATAATAGAGGGAGAGAGACCCAAGAGAGCATGTTGCTGCTCAGGACACGAAGAGTGATGAAGGATCAGTGTGGTAAAATGCAAAAAGAGCATTTGCTCGCACCTCCCTGTGGTGCTGTCCCAGCCATGTAGCCCAGTTCTTCCCATGCACCGAAGGTCCCGGGGCACCCACTCCAGGGCTGCCTTCCCCGGGCGGATACCGAAGGGTCCTGAGCTAAATGCCTGCATTGCTGTGAGGCTCCCAGACACCAGGGGAGGGCATCATCAGCCATTACTCAGATCGTGTTTTATCACCTTTATTTAACAGGGAATCTGTTACAGAAACAGAGTTGTTCTTGTGTGCAGCACAGTTAGACTAAGGCTGGGACTCTATATATCTGAGCCCATAAAAACCTTTGAGACTCCTCTGTCACAAAGTATCTATGCTAAAATGGCCGTGTCCTGCTCCTGAGGGTCTGCCACAGCAGCACAGCTGAAGGTAAACGCTTGCAATTATTTTGCCATTGATACATTACCCTACCATGCTCTGATCTCTTGCAGTGCATTACACGTTATTTCATATGATCTATTAATCCTCATGTGCCAATAGAAGGATATGTCTGATCCATCTGTAAGGTACTCAAAGGACATATCTTTTACTGAGGTCTTCTGTTAACTTCCAGATCATGAACAACGCTGAATCGTGAGCAAGCTAGGTGCTGAGATAGAGGAGGGAAGCTTGTCAGCTTGCAGCGATCTGTCACTCCATCTCCTGGCCAAGAGTTCCCTTCCGGAGTCGCCTGCAAGCCACACACACATAAAGAAGGTATTCATGCCTTCCTCCATGTGAAGCATGGGGCTTAATATTACTTTGTGCACTGATTATGTTGAAAGTAATAGCGGGAACACTCTGATACTGTTAGCAGTTAATGACCCATTGTTTAAATGGAAAAGAGACATTTATAGTCAAATTTATCGTTGGAGTTGTAATGTTGAACTGTATTAAGCAGCCTGAGTGGCTGGTTCCAGAGCACCCCATGGACCTTCGTGGCAATTGCAGTAACGCACCAATGGCGGGAACGTAGCTGACAGTGTGCAGGGAGGCTCTCTGCACCAGCAGACCTACCCCAGTTGCAGTTACTTACTGGGGGCCACCACAAACACCTCCCTGACACTGCGATGCACAAAACCATTGTCACTGCTCAGCGCAACAATGCCACCACTCAGCCCAGCTGAAGGTGGTGGCCCGGCGAGCTGCCGCCCCTGCCTCGCTCCACGGGACACACTACCCCCCCAGGCGGTGTGGACCCCCTCTGCACGCACCTTGGGGCGCCCACAGCCCAGCACACCGCAGCCTGGGCATTCACAGGCTGCTGTGCATCCCACGTGGCCCTCTGGCAGAGGGATAGCGGCGCTGGTTCGTGGATTTGTTTTCCCCTGCCGTTCCTCCAATGCCCCCAGCTCTGCAGTCCCTGTCCCTTGGTGTGTCTCCAGCACTGCAAACTCAGTGCCATGAGATTTAAATGTGACACCTTATAAACCACATAAATATGATCTGACAGCGCCCCTTTACAATGAAGGATTTTGCACAGGATCTTCAGGCTCTAATTCAGTCTCAGGGCTCTCTTCCCGTTATGGTGGGTGTGCAATGCCACTAGGAAAACTTGACTGAATTATAGCCTTTTATTCTTTTAAGGTATCTTTTTTTTTGTCTGAAACAAGGTTTTATTTTGAACAAAAATGAACATGAAAAGTATAAAAGATACAATCACGCTTAGTGGTAGATTTGTTTTCTTTGGAAAAATGGGTCATATTGTGATGCTAAGATAATCGCTGTTAATTTGGAGGTTATTTTAAAGCTAATGGATAATTATTATTCTGTGGAATTTTTTTCAAATAAATACTGAGTTTAGTTTTGCTGAATGTTCCCTTTCCATTTGCAGTGTGGATGTTTCTCCTCACTTGCATTAACATGTTACCACTCAAAATGAATAACTGTGCTTTTGGCTTTGAATTTTTCCTCCACATTTTTGACAATTGTTTTTTATGTCGTATATAAATCACTGTAACACACGATAAAGTCAAGTACATTGAGTGGCTGTGAATATTTAAGTTACTGGTTCCTCCTTTGTGCAATAGCCCATAACCATATTTTAAGAGCAGTTACAGTCTTTTATCAAGCACATGTATTGGCATTTTTTTTTGTAACTGGATTACTGAGCATACTCTTAACAACTCTTAAACAGCTCTCACTGACTATCATGTAAATCCTTCTTAATTCACAGTTTATTGACCACAGTGGTTCTGGATGAATACTTAGTGCCAGTCACCCTCCTGTGGGCACCACGCCACCTGCTACCATGTCTCTGAAGAAATCCCCAAATTCCCCTTGAATAACAAATTTGTGTGTCGCAGAACATTGCCGCTTCTGTAGGAAAATCCTGCTGGAGAGGTTGGCGAGTTTCTACCCCAAGCAGCACCCGCCCCCCACCCCCCAATGCTGGAGGGCTGGGTTTTGGGGAGAGGAGAGGTGACATCTGGTACTCAGTGAGTAGCCGAAGGTGCCCATGTCCGCAGACCTCAGGGCTGCCCCAAATTGGTATATGACAGCAACCCACGACCCGGCTCGTTCAATGCAATCTGCAGTCAATGTAGGTGGAAGGGGTTTATATTACTCATTTTATGGACTGATTTATGGCTTGTTTACTTGGATGCTTTACCCACATTGCTAATGTTGTAATTAAACCTCGTTAAAGTGCGCAGGCGTCCCTCAGGCATGCAAAGTAACTTTTTCTTTTTTTTTTCCATGAACAATAATTATTATATAGGGAAAAAATGAGTGGTGAGGAAGGGTGGCAGGCAGGCTTGGTTGTAATAAATACCTACTTAGCAAGCAGAGGATGTTTAGTTGTAAATCAAATTGTGTATTAAAAATGGAAATTGCTGAGATTGGTGTTTACCTGTGAAACAAAAATTACTTCATGAAGAAAATAATTATAGACATAGACTATAAAAACCCAGTTGTGAACCTTTATTAAATAGTTAAAATCAAGGTGCTGCTGTGATGCACAGCATCAGCACATCATGCACAGGGTAGGTTGGAGGCATCACTGTAGCAGAAGCATGGGCTGTATGCATATACCCCTTCGAGCCCAGATCTAGGCAACAGAGGTATGATTAGAAGCCTTTTATTGATTTTTTTGTTGTTGTTCCCAGGAGCAGGATATCCCTGTGGATAGAAGCGGTCCTGTTCAAGCTGCAATGCCAAGGAGATAGTGCTGGGATGGTGCTCCGCATTCTGGACCCACAGCGCTGCCTGTCCTGACAGCAGCTTTCAGCTTGGGGTGAGGACTGTGCCGAGGTGCCCCGCTAGTCTGCAGGAGCACAGTGGCTTTTGCACACATCCTGCATGGCAATCCTCCGAAAACTCACCCCTGCGAGCCACGATAGTCGCCCTGGCAAACGCAGTCGAGGAGCTTCACTCACCAGCCGAGGAAAGGGTATGCGTGCAACAAACCTCATTCATTAGCAAGAAACAGTTCAGCCTGCTCTGGTTGAAACGCAGCAGCATCCCCACTGTCTATCTATCAGTGTCAGGGCTGCTGGGGTCCTGTTCGGACAGGATTTGGCACCAGAGGTGCTCAGGCTTGGTCCTTTGCTCTGTGTAACAAAGCTAATGTCTGCAATGACCTTATATGTTCACTGCTGTTATTCTGAAAACTATTTGACTGTGAAATCTGAATTGCAGGTCAAAACTCCTGTGAGCACCTTACACAGAAACTGCAAACGTGGACAGCTTGCAGGTAAACTGCTGGATTAACTGAATCCATCTCTCTCTTTGTCTCTTCCTTTTGCTCATACACAGTCTTTTCCCTTCCTCCCATTTCTGTCTCTCAGAGGGGTATTTTGGTGTTCAAACACTACAGGGTGTTTTTAGCTCTACCCCACGTTTTTCTGGTGCATTGCAATTCCCCCCAAGTTTAAAGAGGTCCTCTAGGAGCTAATGAAGCCCATGAAGTAATCAGGTGAAGTATGGCACAAGAGAGAAATTCTATTACCAGAAAAGACTGATGAGTTCAGGGAATTAGTGGGGGGGAAATGAAAATTATATTAGTAATAGTTGTTTATTACCTATACTAAGGTAATATACCAAACACCCCAATGAGAGAGTGCCAAGGCACAGCACTCGCTGATGGCCATGGGTCCTGTTTCGCAGAAGACATTTTTCTCTTATTCTAAAGCAGCTTAACTCAGTCCAGCTTAACTCAATCAACTCCATGCTGGATTTGCTTAGGGACTTCTCTTCCGAGGCAGGCTCAGCAATTTCTGCCAGGAGAGAATATCTCTATATATCTATATAGATACCTCTATAGATACATACATATGGGTGCAGAGGCTGCCAGATCGGCAAGCTGGCGGATAATGGGAGCCCCGGGATGTCTGGCGGGGAGCTACTCAGTCGGTTTGCAGAGCAAGCGGGAGGCGCTGGTGGCTGGTCGGCAGCACTGACGGCCCCGTTGTGCTGCGGGAGTGCAGCCAGCGGAACATCCCACAATGCCGCGCATGAGGGTATTCAGTCCCATAAACAGCAGGGCTCCTGTCTCAGAGGAGAAGCAGCAAGGGTCAGGCACAGCAACAGCACTCAAACGCCAGCAAAAACTTTCCAGAGCTGTGCTATTTACTCAGGCAGGGATCACGGAGGGATATTTAATTGAACTGTGTTGTGTTCTTTTGCCCTGGGTGGATATTTGCTGGCCTAATGCAAATTTGCCTGTGGTGCAGACAGATTAAGAGACCTGCAGAAGTGGAGTCCACTCTTCTTCCGCAGCTGGCCAAGCCGGGGGCAGGACAACATCGGAGGACCTTGCCTGTAACTCTCATCTCAGTGCTGCATTACAAAAAGACTCCTCCAGGAACCCCATCGTTCTGCTTTCAAGCTTTACACTGGGGCATGTTGGAAGCCAACCAAAATGATTGCAGATGTGGTATTTTTGTCCAGCCCTGTCCAAGAGCAGAGTCTTTCTTGAAATGAAAGCCATTCCTCCTGGAACTGTATGTTAAACCAGATCTGGAAGAGTCACTCAAAGGACAAAGAAGCTGCTGAGCCCCAGGAAACGGGTTCAGTGTGAACCGTGGCTGCCCTGGTGCGTTCAGTGTTCATGCAGCCTCACAGCCACAGCCAACACTGTCGGTGCGAGTGGCGCTGCTCCTATTGCACACATCATTAACGGTGTCCTGGCCACCACAATCCTCTCCCCGTGCTGCTCCAAGCCGCACTTAATCTTCTAAAGTGCACCTTCCTGTTTGCCTTATGCTCCCTCGTGACCTCTCCTCCCAGCTGCCAAGCGAATATGTCACGACGTATCGATCGGCGCTGTGTGCACCCGGACTGCTTTGAGCCTGCCTGCTCATCAAGCCCTCGTATTTTATGGGCGCTGCTCTTCTTCCTCATGGTTCCTGGTTTTCCTACCACCCGGCACCCCACCACAGCCCAGCACCCAAGCCCGCTGTCTGCAGGCGCTCAGCAGCTAAAGCAGATGGCAGTGAAGAGCTGCCGCTTCTCACCAGTGGTTTTTCGCCACATTTGGCGATGTTAGCAGGGACATCACATCAGCCTATGCAGAGGGTCACCTAATGCACAGATATGCCCTTATCGATCTTTTGACCAACACTGTCTTAAAAGTTATGTTACTTGAGTAAAAAACATTGAGCTGTTAAAACCAGCAGCTCGCCACGGCAAATGCAATGCAAGCGGCTCACACCTCATGAGCTGAAGAAATAGGAGTGTCTTTAGTCCAGATTAGCACTTTTCCCCTCCCGACTGATGACAGAGCTGTGGCTGGGAGACCCCTGTCAGCCCTCATGCCTTGACTCTCGCCTGTGTGTCCCCAGGCCAGGGGGCACAGGTCACCCCAGGAGCCACATTTGTTCTCCAAGTAGCCCCTGGATACAGAGTGTCTGTCAGACGTGGAAAGAAAAAGGGGGAAAAAAAGCCAGATTTTTCTTGTGGCGCTACATGAAAAAATTTCTTCATAGAGCCTTTGAGGCAATTAGCCAGCGGTAGCAGATGGCACGTGGAATTGTTCCTAAAAATGAACCAGTTACGATGCTGCCCTACATAGAAGTTAACAGATATTAAAGCCATACAGTTTTCAAAGAAATGCGGATGAAAGTGCATGCAGTTTGCAACCGGGCTCGTGCTGTTATACAGTTTGCGTGCGTGTGCACGTGCACGTGCATGTGTATGGTGGTTCTGGAGCATTATCAGCCATGGCACCAGTTCTCTAATGTCAAGCAAGGGCAACCAGCTATACAGAAAGCTCAGAGGTGAGGCTTGGATACTCTAATAGAGCCATTTATTGATGGGGACAACAGCATCTTGCACTGCCTCGGTCATAAGGGAATTTCTTTAACCTGTGTTATGCACGTGCCCGTCCTGTCTGGCCAACCCAAAAAGCTCTGGAGGAATTTGCACCTCTGCAAATTTTACCATTTACTTCAGTAGCATCAGGCTTTCCCTCCAGGGCTAACCTCTGCTGCCACAATGGCTTTGAACTGCGTCATTGGTAAACATCCTCTTCTGTACAGAAAACTTCTTGGGAAAACATAAAACGTTCAAATACAGCAGGCGGAAGAAAGTCTTTGCACCCTCCGCGACCAAAACGCTTGAACCATTTGGTGCATTTTCGCTGCAGGAGATGCTGGGGCTGAGGGACTGGCAGGGCCGTGCGGGGCTTCATGCTCTCGCTGGGCACCTGCCTCAGAAAGTCAGTGCGACAGCTCGGGTCTCTCGCTCATAAAAATCCCTCAATATACCTGTCTTAAACAAGAGTAAAGGCTAAATAAACACATCTAAACAACTGAAAAGCACGTCAACATTCAACTTCAAAATAAAATGCAGTCAAGTGTGAAATTATACTTTTTATTCCATAAATCTCCAGCAACCGGCACAGTTATATAACTTGTATCACGCTTTACTACTGGCAGAGTTTAACACACCATGCAAACCCCATAAAGTAATTACATTTCATTTCAACAAAGAAACAAAATCCCAGCTCATTCACCCCCCTCTGTCTCAGAAAGGATTAGAGACAATTCAGTGCATGTCGATTTTTCCCGGTGATAAATCCAAAGCAGGTCACCAATGAAATGGTAATGTGGGTTCCCAAGGCAGCTGATTTAAAGGGAAAATAGAGATGTTATTTGGTGTTCTTCAAGGCAATGTCACCCTGCTAAAGCCCTTTCGCTTTCTGAAACTTCCTGAGGTTTATCTTCTACTTAAAAGAAGCTTAAAAATGTAAAATTTACCTTGACTAGACCATTTCCACACTTTGCAATTGCCATTTTGCAGACTGGTTATGTGCTTTGGACCAGATTCCTATCCAGCTTTTGAAAAGTTATTACATTCCCCAATAAATGAGATTATGTGAGTGATAATGAAAACCAGCAGAAGACGCAGGTTCCCCTCTTGCAACACGAAGCCGTAAGCCCCGGAGTCTCGGGCACTTCAGACCCACAAGACAGGCTGGAAATATTTGTTGTCAGAGTTTTTGTTGGCTGCTCTTCTGCCAAACCACAGGTATGTGTGTATGCAATAAAACCCAATTAATGTAACTAATTAGTCTATTCACTCACATTCAAAATAAGTTTCCAAACTTTATAATTAGAGTATTGTGATTAAATGCAATTTTAAAAATAAAGAATCCCTGAAAGCAAGGCAACCAGGAACACAGGCGCGCTCTTTCATTTCCAAAACCCAGCTCAAGGCCACAAAGACACACACAAACAGGTAACTAAGGGTTACCGGAAAGGAGGCTTTACCCCACCGGGCACAAAGCAACGTGGCAGCAAAAACTCCCTCCTATCACTCAATCAGCCACTGCAAAAGTGGGCATCACGAAAGGGGACACCCTGTAAAGGAGATGATAGGACACAGCAGCCTCCTCAGAAGTGGGATGAAATGCTTAAATATGCAGGTTTCCATCCGAAAATGGGAGGTAAAAATGATTACCTGCCGTCGTCTGTATTTGTGCAAAATACTCAAAATGGGCTCAGGCCCTGAGCAGTGCAACAGAGCTCGGTGCTGGGACAGGCCCAAGGGCAATGTGCTGACATTCACTACAAGTACTGAGGGAGTTTTCCTTTATTGCTTTCAAACCGCTGAGCATGAGTTTGCTTTTCCTATCTTGTTTATTTATCTGCATCTCAGCCTCGGCTTTGTTTCTGACCCAAACAGACTCAATAAATGTTGCACAAAGATGGGAAATGCAGCAGGAAGACCCTGCAGAAATAACTTGCTCTAGTGTTTCCATGTGTTTTCCGCTGATATGCCTTGTGAACATAGCCCAATTCCCAGTTCACCCCAGCAAACCAAAGACTTGAAGTGGTGCATGAAATGGTGTTGCTGTAGTTGTCTCTTTTGGTGCGTGGAGAGGTAGGAGCGAACCCATCACTATTGCCGAGCGAGAGGAGAGCGAGACTGGCCAGCAGCAGCAGAGGGGACTGAACGATGCTAAGCACCAGCTGACCGCAGAGGAGGCTATGTGGAAAACATAAAATTTGATAAGGGAGTGTTTTATATCTCAAAGTCAACAACCAGTCTAGGAGACCACAAGCAGCGGACAAACAAAATGAGGCAAAAAAAAAAAGAAAGGTGAGTGCTAGTCAAGTTGCAGAGGGCAAAGAATTTGATAAAATTACCATCAAACAGGCAAGGAAAAGCTAGAAACAGATCTGAAAGGCCTGGAAATGTCATGGCGGGAAAGGGGGGGGGAAGGCGGGGCTAGTAGTAAGCAGGGAAAATTAGGTTCCTATATATAAACCTGAGCCCGGTTCCCTCATTCCAAACGCTGGTCATCTCTTCTGCCCTTTATACTTTTTGAAAAGATGACACTGTGCTGTAATTTGAACAATCCAAAATCATTCCTCCAGGAGGAGGCACCTATGGCACCTCTATTTGGATTTATATTCTATAGCAAACTGGAGTAAAAAGAGAGTTGCAATAGCCCCCCCC